AAGCTACATGAATGTCTCAGAATCTAGCCTAATCTCTGGTACTTGTACAGTTGATACTTTCCTGACTTCTGTAGACTTTCTGGTAGCCAGTTTATCAGCTACTGAAACGATGAAATGGGCCAATAATTCTGTCCGACTCGGCCGGAAGACTATCAACCCAGGCTACACCAAAGCCGACACGCGCTTTTTGTTCCGCTCACGCGTTTACCAGGAACTCGCGACCAGAGCTGAAAGCCAATCCTCAGTGACTCAAGTCCAACGAATTTGCAGGTCCAAACTATGGGTTGCAGAACGGAGTTCCTTTTTCAAGTCGGTCCAGCAAGTGAATCGTTTTGTGGATGTCTTGATGTGTTGACTTCGTGGCTGTTTGTCTGCTAGTAAGTACCCTGTCTATCAGTAGAACTTGGAGAAGACTTCTCAAGCAAACGGCGCAGGTGTTGGGCCGCTGAAGGATCATACAACTAGATCTCCCGCAACAAAAGCTTTTCCAATGGCATGACATTGCATATTGTTGATCCTGGTACACGGGGAATAAAAGACCTCACTCAGTCCTTGCTCCCGCAAAAAGCGCATGTCGAACAGATTCGTCCATGGATCTGCCGTTTCGCGTCATGGCTTTCAGCACAAAGGCCAACGGTTTCCTGCTCTCCACTTCTGCCATGAGTCTTGGACTCGGCCGCGGGTAGATGGCGGAAAGGCACTTGCAAGATAGCAGGCCGGCCTGGTCAAACTGACCCTTGCAAAAACAAAGTCAAGAGTCCTTATTTCGGCTGAAGGAGTTTGCGTCATGTTCCCCAAAAGTTAAACAGTCTCAAGATCAATCGAAGAACTCACTTCCTGACTGGAGCCAAACAAGAGTCCAAACTTTTCCTTAGCACCACGGTCCAAACCCAAAAGGGCCATAGTTTAAAGTTTAAAGTACACTCCCACCAGTTCACAGGGAAGCTGTCAGGGGGTCCCCTGTCAGGTTCCATGTCAATTGATGGGAGGGTAGTTGAAAGTCCAGGAACTCGGGAAGTGAGAAAAGCACCCAGCTGAGCTCATTTCGGTCTCAAAAGCCCACGAAGGCAAGCGCATTCACCTGAAGTCGGTGCGGTGCGCTGGCTTTCGGACCACATGTGTGTCTCAAAATGGGCCCGTTGTGAGGGGTGGTTTAGGCTTGTTGGCCAACACAAACACCATCCAAAAAGGGGCCCGATTCCTATTTTGAGACACACTTGAACCTCAGAAACGTCTTAACATGTAATTTGGCGATGCCAAAACAGCACCCTCGACAAAAGGTAGACCCATTACTTTCCTGCTAGCTGCAGGACCCACGACCATTGAGCCAGAATCTGCACACTTCGCTGCCTTTAGGCTGACAGAACAAACAAAAAGCAAAACACGCAAAGCAAACAAACAAACAAACAAACAAACAAACAAACAAACAAACAAACAGACGGACAGGCGGGCAGCGAGCAGACAAGCGAGTCAGCGAGCAAGCGAGCAAGCAACCCAGCGAGCGAGCGCGAGCGAGCCAGGGAGCAAGGGAGCAAGCAAGCAAGCAAGCAAGCAAGCAAGCAAGCAAGCAAGCAAGCAAGCAAGCAAGCAAGCAAGCAAGCAAGCAAGCAAGCAAGCAAGCTTGGCAACTTGGCAAGCAAGCAAGCAGGCAAGCAAGCGAGCGAGCGAGCGAGCTAGCGAGCAAGCCAGCAAGCAAGACAGCCAGCGAGCGAGCCAGCGAGCGAGCAAGCAAGCAAGCAAGACAGCCAGCGAGCGAGCCAGCGAGCGAGCAAGCAAGCAAGCAAGCAAGCTTGGCAAGCAAGGAAGCAAGGAAGGAGGCAAGCGAGCCAGCCAGCGAGCAAGTAAGCAAGGAAGCAAGGAAGCAAGGAAGCAAGGAAGGAAGGAAGCAAGGAAGTAAGGAAGCAAGGAAGCAAGGAAGCAAGGAAGCAAGGAAGCAAGGAAGCAAGGAAGCAAGGAAGCAAGGAAGGAAGCAAGCAAGCAAGGAAGGAAGCAAGGAAGGAAGCGAGCGAGCAAGACAGCAACCGAGCGAGCCAGCGAGCGAGCAAGCAAGCAAGCAAGCTTGGAAACTTGGCAAGCAAGCAAGCAAGCAGGCAAGCAAGCGAGCGAGCGAGCTAGCGAGCGAGCGAGCTAGCGAGCAAGCAAGCAAGCGAGCCAGCCAGCGAGCGAGCCAACGAGCGAGCAAGCAAGCTTGGCAAGCAAGGAAGTAAGGAAGCAAGAGAGGAAGCAAGCGAGCAAGCAAACAAGCAAGGCCAGTCTTTGTAACGTTGAGAACCCCTCTTGGATGGTGCTCAAACGGGGGACCTATGAACTTAGCAAACCTGGAAAATTGAAGGTGATCTTTAGGTGGATTGTCTAAACGTTTAGAATTGTTTACGCGAAAGAGGTCAAAAGACCGGCTCGCACGAGAGACATTATTTTCAGCCGCGAGCCAAACACCAGCGCTGCATTTCCTTTAAAAGATGGTCTCCATCTATAATTCAAATCCAAAATCATCACACCACCAGCAAACTGTACTGCTCGACATCCACTTTGGCCTCACGACCCTTGGTATGGTTGCTTCTTCTTTGCCGCCCCCTGCTCAAAATGAACAGAACCAAAACAACAAAACAAAAACTCGCCAAGAACAACTGTGTTGGCGTAAATTGATAGTTGGAACCCTGCAAGTGACAACGGTACCTGCCTTGGCACGGTGGCTTTCCATGATCCTCAGGAGCTTCCCGGTCTTGGTGTCCCAGATGCGAACGGCCCCATCCCTGCGGCGAAAAAAAGCACCGAGAGATTAGGGGCCAAAAAGCGCGTTGTGGCGAGACAACATCGGAATGAACAATAGAGCGGAATGACTTGGTGGATTCTGCGTGGCCACGGACAGGAGTCCGTTTCTTTCCAGACTGGCAATGAAAGGCACTTCCAAACACGAAGATTGCGATCCGAGACACAATCCCGAACAATCGGCGGGAGCTTGGCCTTCACAACGGAACGTCAAAGCGAAGTGCAATGCCAAAAGCGAAGGAATGCCACTGCAGCATTGAATCCGCAGTGTGACAAGCGTTCATCAAGCAAACAAATTGGCTCCTCTGCAGGCCCTTCGTGGGATAGAGAAAACGCAGATCACAACACCGAAAGGACATGCTCGCCTGAATCCAAACGGAATCCGAACGAAGCCTCTTCACCACAATTTGTTGAAAGGACATTGAACCACACTTCCAGACACCGAGCCCCAAGAAACACAACTGCATTTTGCAGGTTCCAATGCTTCGTTGCCACTTTTGGAGGTCCACAAAACAGCAACCGAGGCACCCAAAACCACCAAATCCCCAAGAAGGCAAAGAAAAACCAAACAACGGGGCTTGGGGCGTCTTGCGACATGTGGGGTCCGGCCACTGAAATGGTTTGGGTCTTCCTTGTGGTTTCCAATTGAAACCCAACCGAACAGCTCGTCCTCCCCCCCAAACAAAACAAAAACAAAGACAAAAACAGAAATCCGCGTGGTGTCCCCTTAGAATCCCACCAACAGGGTGTGTGCCCGAAGAGAACGAGCGACACGCGCGCGCGCGCGTCGAAGGCGCGACCCGAAGGAAAATCTCGGCCTGGCGCCGGTGGCCGCAAAGCTGGCGTCCGCCGCGAAGGCTGCGAAGAGCACGGAGCCCGCATGGGCCTCGGGGTTTTGCGCTGTTCGGCTTGCGGCTTTCATTTGGGGGGGGGGCATGGGAGAATGTTGACCCCACAGAAAAATCAACTCAAGCAACCAGTTTATGAATAGGGGGGTGTCCCTGAGTTTAGTGGGGAATCAGTAGATGCTTTCTTGGGCTGTCCGTTGTCAGATCCCCCAGCTACAAGTCGAACACTGGTGGAATAAACTCGGAAACCCAACCCCTAAACCAACTAAAAACATCGAACAATTTAAGGAACCGGACGGCTGGGAACCGCCAAGCTGTGATTTGGCTCTTGTTCTGACCTGGTCAAAGGTCGTCCTTTTGTTCGACCTCCAGGTCAAAAGAAAGAGAGACAAACTCGTCCTGATTTGGAGCTTATCATTTGGCACAGCTTGAGTGCATGGCTGGCGGTTGGAAGATTTCAGTCAGAGCTCCTTTCCTTCTCCAGTCTTCACCTCAAAGGGCCAAACTTTTGTGGGGCAGGGTTTACAGCTCAAAGCTGGGTTGGTCCAACTGACCGTGTGGCAAGTGAAACGAAGCAACTTCTTTTTCACGTTTGTTTTTTTTGACAAGGGTAGAAATCAAACAAGTGAAAGGGTGAGAGTTTGCACCAGGAAACCAATCATGTTGGGTCCCCCAAAACAGGTTCTCCACAGCGTCCGGGGGCCTGCAAGGCGCGATCTGGGTGTGACACATACTTTGCAGGTTCCCATAGGCCCTCACGATCCCTATCAAAACAGGGAGTCAGGGTTCGCAAAAAGCTGGTAGGATCGCAGGTTGACCATTGTTCGCCGGACTTTGGAGCCGCAGATTAACATCACACAACCCCATGAGCAGAAATGCGCTTGCCGTTCCCAGCCGGCTTCTTGGTTTAACGCCTTAAAAACACCGTCCTTTTTCTTTTTCAATGGGCCACCGCTTGCACAGTGGATGTTGCGAGGGAAACCAAAAGGAATACCAAAGGTGACAGGCTTGCGGACTTTAGCTTGTCCGACCATAATGCGTGTGTGGGTTTGGAGTTGGGGTGGAGCCGGTGAGGAGAAACATATGGATATGCAACGAAGCTAGCTGCGATAAAGCCTCAGCAAGATCTGTCTCAGGAAGCCCATCTGAATCTATCAGCTTCCCGTCCCTGTTGGACAATGTAAACGAGATTCCCAACAGTGGCACAAAAAAATGGATTCCCAAAGCAAATCATTTACAACTATGTGAGCCCAACTTGGCTCAGTTTGGGGGGTGCTGTTTTGCCACATCCCACAAAGGCCGTTTCTTTACTTCGATCCTTCGTATAGTCTGTACTGCGGTCAGATTGCCACATGAAAACACCTCAGTTGGGCCCTGGGCTTAAACTTTTAGAAACAGCGTGTTTTGCAAACACCCAAGCGGCAAGCGCCATTTAAGTTGGACATTCTTCCAAATGGCTGGCAATACTTCAATATGAGTTATTGCTAAGTTTGAAGGAAGATCGACATGAGGATGTCCTCGTTTCTTCCAGCTGTCTGCTTGGGAGTACCGCTGAGGGACAGACACACAGGCTAGTACAAGCAAACATATTTGAAAGCGCAAAAGGCCTGGTCTGCTTGATGCCCCAATCCCTAAGGCATTCTTGTTTTTTTGCTGGACAGCCAAACATGTTATGGCTGTTTCTGAATACTACAATCCAGCTTCCTTCCATCTGATACATCTTATCTGGGCTGGCGGGCGGACAGGGTCCGCAGGCAGTCCCCGGTAGCCTCCCAGATCTTGGCGGTGCCTGAGCCGAGTAGAGAAAACCCTCTGCGAAGGATTTGAGTTGACCGCTGGTTACAACAGCAAAACCTGTTGCCACTTATAACCATGGTTGCAACTTGGCTACAGACCGGCCGACCTACCTACCCAGCCACCTACTAAACTACCTACTCACCTACTCACCTACCTGCCTGCCTGCCTGCATGCCTACCCACCCTACCTACTAAACCCACCCACCTACTGAACTACCTAGCTACCTACTAAACTACTTACTTACTTACTTACTAACTTACTTACTTACTTACTTACTTAATTACTTACTTACTTACTTACTTACCCACCCACCCACCCACCCACCCACCCACCTACCTACCTACCTACCTGCCCTACCTACTTAACTACCTTCCTACTAAACTACCTACCCACACTACCTACTTACCTACCTACCTACCTACCTACTTAACTACCTTCCGACTAAACAACCTACCTACTTAACTACTTGCCTACTCAACTACCTACTTACCTACCTACCTACCTACCTACCTACCTACCTTCCTACTAAACTACCTACCTACTTAATTAACTACTTACCTACTTAACTACCTACTTACCTACCTACGTACCTACTTAGCTACCTTCCTACTAAACTACCTACCCACTTAACTACCTACTTAACTACCTACCTACCCTACCTACTTAGCTACCTTCCTACTAAACTACCTACCTACTTAGCTACTTACCTACTTAACTACCTACTTACCTACCTACCTACCTACTTAACTACCTTCCGACTAAACAACCTACCTACTTAACAACTTGCCTACTTAACTACCTACTTACCTACCTACCTACCTACCTACCTACCTACCTACCTACCTACCTACCTACCTACCTACCTACCTACCTACCTACCTACTCAACTACCTTCCTACTAAACTACCTACCTACTTAACTACTTACCCACTTAACTACCTACTTACCTACCTACCTACCTACTTAACTACCTACCTACATACCTACCTACTAAACTACCTACGTACTTAACTACCTACCTACTCAATTAGCTACTCACCTACCTTGGGCTGCACACCCAAGTTGCTCCCTCCAGCACCTGACTTCGCGAGTTCGCCCTCACTGCAGCCGAAGCGGCGGTCCAAAGAGGCGGTAATCACCAGGCGGCCGTCGCCGGAGAAGCCAGCGCACTGGCGCAAGGCCGTCCGAGCCATTTTTCTTTGAAGGGAACCTCCAAAAACTTTTGGCGAGCTCAATGGAACCCAACGGTAAATTGATCAACCTTTGAGTTCAAAACGTCGCTTACGTTGAGTCTAATCTGTGCCACTGGGGGGTGTGGCTGGCCCCCATGATTTTGCCATAGTCGAAGTCAGATGGCGGGTTTAAAGGATAGTTTCTGGGAAAAAGTCACAAGCATGGCCTAAGATGTTTGGCCAGCTTATCTTTTGGAAACTTATCACAAAGGTTGACCAGGTACAGCCGTTGTCTTCTTAGCATGGGCTTACCTGCGGCCCATGATGAATTACACCCCCAGTCAGCAATTAATTTGGGGTTCCCCCGATTCAAAGAAATGGCCGCCATCAAACCAGGGACAGCTAACGCAGCTCACCCCGTAGGCGCTATTTAAAAGACGTATCCGGATTCAACGTTGCTGACCAACTTGTTTCAGCTGCACCCAACAAAACGACATCGAGCCCGAGCCCATCTTGCGCTTGGAGCTCCTCCCCTTCTGATGCCGCTCTGCGGACTCTTTCGACTGGGCCGAATTCAAGCTCTAGTTAGAAACCGGCATTGTCCAAAGCAAATAAAATGATTCGGTCAAAGCAAAGAGCCAAACAGAAGTAGCTCTCTAGCTTCCCGGCCGAGGCTAAAGTGGCCATCTCAGCCCCATGTTTCTGACGCCTGCACGGTGTCCGTGTGCCCTCGGAACTCCCGGATGCAAGAGCCGGTGCCGGCCTGGCAATTGTTGTGCTTCCAAACCGGCCATGCTTGGTGGTTCCATGTTTGGTCCAGGTTTTTAGCCACGGCCCCAATCGGTTATTCTTGTATTTGTGGGTCCTGTGGCCAGCTAAACTTTAAGCCCTTGCAATAGATGACTCTTTGATCTTCCAGGGGTCCTGATGCTGACCCTTTGCAGCTGAGACAGCCCTCAAGCCAAAACAAAGTCGCCTGCCGGTCTGAACTTCCATGAGTGACCATGGCCAGGAATCCTCAGCAAGGTCTATGGCACATGAGTACCTTAGCTGCCCACAAAGCATCAGCTTCTAGACTCGGTTGACGTCGGAAGGGGAGCAAAAACTTAAACTTTAGCAGTTAAGTGGTTGGATTTCAACCACTAAGCCACAATGAGCGCAAAAATGTGCAAAATGTTTCCCAACGACCACCAGGTAGACTCTGTGGACCAACATGCCAAAGGAGAAAATGATGCCCTTCGAGGGGTCCAAGAGGTCAATTCATCGGTGGCCCTTGGCCCCAAAGAGCCGTGCCTCCCACATCCGCGCAGTGCGATCCTGGCGGAGAAAAAAAAAAACTCGGCTCTCCACCGGGCGATGCCTGCGGCTTGTACGAGGTCCCTGAAAATTGGAAAAGGATCCCTGTGAAGGTTGGCTTCAAGTGGAGCCCAAAAAAATCCTTGTCTTATTGAAGTGCTCGAGAGATCCATCAGGTTGATGAATCCGAAGTCCGGGATTGGACTGGGGGGGCCAGCACGAAGCTGGAGCATGCATGCCACAAGCTTTGCAAAACGGAAACAGCCCCAGAAAAATGCGAGCGTCCTAAGCTGTTTGAGCTCTCACCAAAGCAAACCCTTCACTGGCGCGTGGAAGACAAGTTTCCACTCTTTGAGGGACGGGGAAGGTACTCGGGTTGTGTATTCAACAAGGGAAAACCATCATGGCATGAACCGGCTTTGCGCGCCTGGATTGTTGTGGCGCCATAAATGTCTCAACAAGGAACTCCATCGGCAATGCCAAATCCCGCTCAGGGATTCCCTTTGCGCCTGCGCAGTCCCCTCATCCAGAAAAGCTGAATGCAAGTTTCGTGGGTGTACCCCGGATCTTTCCGGGTTTCCTCCGCTTCCCCTTTTGGGAACCTCCAAAAGTGGCGATCGTCTCAATGGAAACCACCAGTTGCTTCGCAACTTTTGAAGGAGAACTCCAGTGCCCCCCGGCTCTTTCCATGAAAAACATCCATTGCGAACACCTCCTTGGGGGTGAAATCTGAGAGGTCCCGACCGGCCTGGGAGGCAGTCAGCAAGCGCAGCCCGGAAGGAGCGAAGGCGACCTCATGGGGCGGGTGCCCAGCTGAGCCCATCTGAAGAAATGGATCAGGCATGGCTCACAGGACTGCTCTTGGGCATTCCCCCCATTCTCAACCATAGTTCTTGTCAAAACACAGCTGTTTTCCTTTGGTTTCCAGAGGTGTTCTGGAAAGAAGGATTTCTGGAAAGAATGGGGTGAAGACACACAGCCCCTGGTCGCATTGGGAGCCCCTTTTAGTGGCTCGTTGTTGGCTCGTCTTTTTCGAAGGCTCGGGGCCCTTTTGGAGTGTCTTGTACAGGAGACCCCACCTTTTTGGTGCTTCCAACCTTCCAAAAAGAAGGGGCCGCTCATTTCTCCTGGCATATTCCCTTTCTTTTTCTTTTTTCCCCAAACAAAAAGAAGCTCTTTTTCCTGGTTTTTAAACAAAAAACATCAGGTCTTGGCTCTTGGCTCTTGGCTCTTGGGTTTGTTCTTGGCTCGCAGCCATGGACACATTGTCCTTGTGGCCTTCCAACACCTGCTGCGCCTGCCGAAGCTCAGAGGTCGGGTCCTAAAACTTCCAAAACGACCCGCCCCCTACGACAGTTTGTGTGTGTTTTCCCCATGGCATACGCAAAAGCAAATCCTGTCATTTCAATTGCCATTTAAATTTGGTCCAATTCATTTCGCAAGGGTGTAATTTCAAGATGCGATGCAAACACCCTCATAAAACAAAAGATATTTTGTCCACATCACTGGGTGGGATTCTTACTCCGTTGTCCGCGCCACTCCTCCTCCCCACCCTCCCGTCCTCACTCACTGACTCACTGACTCTCTGGCTCACTGGCTCAGTGAATGACTGACTCTCTGAATCACTGACTTGCTGACTGACTCACTCACTCACTCACTCGCTCTCTGACTGACTGACTCAGCCAGCCAGCCAGCCAGCCAGCCAGGCAGCCAGCCAGGCAGCCAGCCACCAGCCAGCCAGGCAGCCACCCACTCACTCACCTCACCTCACCTCACCTCACTCACCTCACCTCACCTCACCTCACATGACCTCACTCACCTCTTTCACCTCACTCGCCTCACTCACCTCACTCGCCTCATTTATTTCACCTCACTCACCTACCTCACTCACCTCACTCACCTCACTCACCTCACCCCACTCACCTCACTCACCTCACTCGCCTCATTTATTTCACTCACCTCATTCACTCACCTCACTCACCTACCTCACTCACCTCACCTCACCTCACCTCAACTTACCTCACCTCACCTCACCTCACCGCAACTCACTCATTCATTCACTCGCCTGGCAAAATATGTTCGGTTGACTTGTTGATGCATGTTGGACGTGACGAGCTCACCACTATGCTTTGAAACCGCGGGTTGCTTCAAGGGTTTGGCAACATCCCCAGCGTCAAGCTGCCACACAAGCTACGCATGTAGGGAAGGTGGGCTCTTTTTGGGAGTCCATGTTAATCTGCCAGAGTGTACGGTGTCAAGGAAAAATGCAAAATCTACGATTTGCCCCCCTGTACAATCCGAAGCTGACAATGACAGGGCTGGTGCTCCGTATGTTGGGAATGAATAGGAAGGGAATTCCCTTCAGGGAAACCAAATCAGGGATGGTCATTTTCGGGGTCATTCCAATTCTCATTCCCTGCCTACCGAACCAGCAAGCAATTCTGCAAATGAACATGACGCCAAGGACCGCCAGCTGGGGCAGGGGGAGTTGGTGGCTTCGAATGAAAAGAAACACTTATGTGTATGCAAGCTAACCAAATGGCACCACGCAAGCATGCGATAACTCTTTTATCCAAGCATGGTTTTGGTGCCAGGGACTCATCTTCCCCTGTCAGAAGCTCCCGGTTGGGTGGGCCCCACGGGCCACCCACCACAAACTTTCAAATCCATCAACTGGGTTCAAAGAACCCAAGACAATGCTTGAGCCAAAATGGCACATGCCATTGTGGTCAAGCATTTCACACACAGTTCATGTTTCCACAAGTTTCAACATTAACAAAACATCAGCGAGCTGGTAAACTGCAGCACAGGAATTGCGGGTTCTCCAACTTGTTTAAACACGTTGACGCAACCAGCACCCCCAACAACTGCTTGTTCCCCATGTCCAGCATCCTAAGTACGGCAACCAACAAGTAGTGACGTGGATAGGGGTGGACAGGATCTGTTCAGGGCCCTTGTGGAAAATAGATGGCACTGGTAAATGACAAGAACCAAAGGGAAACCAGTAGTGCCATATGTTTTCAAAGAAACTCACCTAAAAAGGACACCCACGGGCTGGAAAAAAAAGAGGCCTGCTCAACAGACCCTGACTCGGTCGCTCCCTCTCCGCCTCGCCCGTGACTTTCCAAATGGTCGCCGTGCAGTCGGCACCTTGCAAAAGGTGCGCAACATATGCGCTGACAGGCACGAAGCTCTACCAGGGCTTTCAAAGGAAAGTAAACAAAAACAAACCCAAGACTGGGCTGTTCCCCTTCCTTCCCCTCGACAAGTTGGTGGCTTAGGGGAAACCGTTAAACCAGCCATGCAGCTCAAAACCTAAAGAACCGCATGGCTGGGAAGCGCCATCCAAAATCCCTTTTTTTTCAGCCTTCCCCGGTTCATCCCGACACATTTCCGCCCAACTACTCACTTCCTGCGCGGCTCGGCCCAAGAAAGGTCCTGGAACTTGAAACAAAACTGGAACTACCTCTAAACTGGCTGACCCCAAAAAGTGAGACTCAAGTCAAAGCAGCGGAACTCCAAGGCCCAAAGTCCCTTCAACTCCATGGCTCCAACCCCAACCAGTGACTCCAGCCCAGCATCTCCAGGTTTCGCCGGCTCCAGCCCAGCACGCCTTGGGCCCATCTCCCGCTGAATCTTCCCCTGGGCGCCGGGCTGGCGGAGGCCAACTCGGGGAAGTCGGGCTCCGGGTTGAAGCACACCCAGAAGATGGGGCCTCGAAGCCAAGCCGGGCCCTCGCCCCGCCCGTCCGGTTTGGGTTCAGTTGAACATAGGTATCATGGCTTATTTAGTAGCTTATCATTGACCCATGGGTTCCAATCAAGCACAGGTGTAGTATATATGTATGGTGGCCGTATATATATATATTATATATATGTGTGCACGAGGGATTCGACGTGCGCAGCCTCCCACTTACATGGATCCCACCAGAAGGCCGCCTGAATTGGCTTTGACTTTGTGTCACGAAACCCACAGAAGATTCGTTGATTAGCAAGGAGGTGCACTCGGCTGAGTTTTGGTCGATGCCAAGTTCCACCCACATGCCCCTGGGTAGCGGCCCTAAATCAGCCGATGTGAAGGGCAAGGAGCTATTTTTGCCAGTTGGACGCACGCCCTATCAAGCCCACACAGATCAACTGGGGGTTTTAACTGCTCAGCTCGGCGTTTCCTGGAGCAAAGTTGTCCAGTCCAGGTGGCTTCCGCTGCCTGTGTATCCTTTTGACCACACACGTGTTGGACAGTTTGACCGAACTTCATGCGATCAAGCACAGGGGCTCTCTTTTTTTTCGACGTCTATGATACCTATGTTCAACTTAACCCAAACCGGACGGACGACTGGGAAAAGACGACTGGTGATTTACCATGTCTCGTGGTTGGTTCGCTTCAGCCGGCAAGGCTGCAAGGCTCTGGGCTCCAGGCTCACACCGCCATCGAAGACCTGCAAACACCTGTCGAGGGCTGGGGTCGGAGGCATCCGGGATGTTTGTCCACTTATTGGAGATGCCATGTGACAAACCGCAAGATCCGCGAACCTGTTTTTGCCTGGAGGCATCCCTAATCTCAAGTTCGCGGGTATCTTTGGGTCTCACAGCCATCGAACTTCGGCGCCTTTTTGTTTCTCTTGCTGGGCTTTGCCACAGCCATCCCGCAAATTTCAAGGGACCCAAGAGAGCGACACTGGGGGTGGCCCTTCTTTTTGAAGCAACAATCAAATGGGAAGGCAATCTCAAGGTAAGGGCCGGCACCCGGCACTCACTTGAGAAACCAAACCTCTGGTCGCCGAACCTTCTCCCAAAAGGGACGAACAAAGATCGTCTCTCCACCATTAAAAATGAAACGTGCCCCCGAACTTGCCCCTTAGAAGGCTTAGAGACTGCAGAACTGACCTTGAATGATTGGCCACAAGTCCCCATGACTGAGGCGGTCAACTTCGATCATCGCCGGGCGAAGGCTTTTCGCGACGCGCGTGGCGCAAGCCGCGAGCAAGGACGCGCCTGCCGGAGCCAATGTCCCAAATCCTGGCACACGCTGACGAGCACCCGACATGAATCTGAAATATCCGGGCATGGGACTGTGTCATAGGGAGACCCCCAAATTAGGTCCGGCTTCTTTCTGGTTTCCCTTTGGGCACCACATTCGCTACCGGCTCATGTCAGGAACCTGGAACTTAGGGTTGGCCCAAACTCAGGATAGCCTTTCACCCCGTGGGCGTTGCGAACCAACTCCCTGGGTGAGTCTAAGGTTCACCTTCTGGCCCAGACTGAGGAAATTGATTGCCACTTCGCAACAGCCTTCTTCATATTCTCAAGGTTCCCCGGCGTTTCCAGACACCAAACACAAACTGCAGAAATGCCTTGACCTCCCCATGTTCACCTCACCTAGCCTCAGCTCAGAGATTCAGCTCCATGTCTGGCAAACAAACCAAAAAACCTCGAAGACTTGGTCTGTCCGTTTTGAGAGTACCCCCCTTTTTCGGTCGGTTTTATACACCGTTTCGCCATTTTGGAGGGGTCCCTAAAACAAGACGAGCAAGTCTGCGCCTTGCACCACTCCGTGGATTCCCCAATCGTTGCAAGTGAACGAACTATACATCCAATCACGAAACTCTGGTCAACGGTAAATAACAGGTTTCAAGCTTGTTCCCAACTCACAATGTTTCGAGCATCCATCGTGACAAGCGCCGATCCGGTAGAAGAACCAGCGTTGCGCGCACGTTCCGCTGCGGTCCAAAGAGCCTTCAAGCCATGTGCGCATCAAGGGCCTCTGGTGAATACATGGGGATGTCCTGGAAATCAGGGTACCCCTTCTGTTTGCGGTTTGAAAAGAAAGGACTAAAATAAATCAAACCCACTAGCTTCGGGCTTTGCAAAGGCACCAGCGCCTGGTCGCTAATCCTGCCTCACGTGGACCAGCTTGGGCGCTGGGGAGTCGCTACTTCCAATATTCAACATGGACTGGGCTAAGAATGGGTTCGCGCCCCACAAACCCCTCTGCCCAGCCTCCCGTTCTTACCTTGGTTTGGCTGGCTGATTGGGAAAACCCATGAAGGCTGAAGGGTGCCCCGGTCAGTCTGCGAGTCTGGTTTGGGGCCCCGTCATTTGCCCCATAGCCCCAAGAATCTCACCTTAAACTTGTGTCCAAAAGATGATTCAAATTTTGAACCCTGCTCTACATGTCATCGTTCTCCATTGCATGGGCATATTGCTTCTACCTTTTTTGTTTACAGTTGGAACCTTGTCTGGGTCCTCCAGTAGAGAGGTTAGAATAAGGGCACCCTTTTGTCTGTAGTCTATTTTAGAAGGGGAACCCTCCCAACCAAAAAAGGGTGAGACAGGGCACCTAATTTGCTGGGGGACCTAGTTGTTAGGATCCCTGGCTCTGCCAACCCGCGACCTCGACCGCGACCGCGAAGCTTCTCACGGCGCCTGGCGGCGCAGTCCAGGCCGGCGGTGGCCACTGTGCGCTCCGTGGGGTCGAAGGCGAGGCAGGTCACCTCGCGCGCACGGCCCACGGCCCCCCTACGATCTCGTCGCAGCAAGGCGATGATTTGGCCGTGGTGGTCAAAAAAAGGGCAAACCCAAAATGGGTTGCCCTGGTGGAAACATGGACTAAAATCTGTCCCCTAGGGGTTTACTTTTGACCCACACCCATTTCGATGTTGATTCGGATTCGAATTTAGTTGAAACCCTGTTACCTTGGTGTCTGATTTGTGCTTTTTGCCAAGGGAAAATACCTCAAGAAACCATGGGTTCAACATGGTTCAACCATGGCTTCAAAGTGGTGCAGGATTTTGTCCAGTATGAGGGGCGGGGGTTGGGTCCCCAATTCCATTTATCTAGTCTCCATAAAAGGGAAAACGGATTGCCATGGAGATCTCCAGGGGGCACCAGGTCACCCCTTAAAAATGGAACTGGCTTCAGTTTAGCGTGGCTCTCAAGCCAAGCTCTATCAGCCCACGCAAAAGGATAACGGACCGACTTTGTTTTTGGCAGCCCATGAACAATGAACAGAACCGAAACATGAAGATAACCAAAGGGAACAAAGCTTGAAACTTTGCTTTTTGCAGCCCACGAAAAAGGAACAGAACCAACAACCAACTAAAAAACTAAAAGCTGGATCCAACAATGGTGAAGTGAAGCTGTACCACGCTGTTTCTCTGTTTGTTTCCTGGGTTGAGCAGCAAGCACGTGCTTTTCCTTTGCTGGGTTTACCCCTCCTCTTTTTGTGTGGGTGTATTCGACTTTGTATCTTATTCTTTCCTTTTTGTTGGTTGGCTTGAGCTCACGTTTCACTTTGTTTGATGGCCTTGCTGCTCTCGCTCATGATTTGCCACTTTTAGCACATTCTTATCTGTTGGTTTTGAGATGGCCTATTCAGCTATGTTGCTATAGTTTTGCCCTGTAACCCACGTCTCAGATTTGGTGGATGGAGCCAGCAAACGTGTTATCCTTTCTTTGGGTGGGTTTACTCATTTCCTGTTCGGTGGGCGTAACCCAGCTTTGGTTTTGCCACTCTTGTTGTTCCCAATTTCATTGGACAACAACAAGACGCCAACCGCGCGGTTGGAAAAGGGACCAGGAGGCAAGCCCAACACACAACACACGACAGAATACAACTCAGCAAACAAATATGACGAGGACATGAGAAAAACTCCAGTATCTAAAACGACGTGGAAACGAAAAGCCAAAGCAATAAAAACCAAACAACGCACAGACACTCAGACACAGAAAGACATAGAGAGACAGAGAGAGAGGCACCAACACAAGCACACGCACACACAGGCACAGAGAGAGAGAGAGAGAGAGAGAGAGAGCGAGACGCACAGACAGACAGACAGACAGAACAGACAGACAGAACAGACAGACAGAACAGACAGACAGAACAGACAGACAGACAGACAGACAGACAGACAGACACAGACAGACAGGTAGGCAGGTAGGCAGGCAGGCAGGTAGGCAGGCAGGCAGGCAGGCAAACAGAGGAAGAGAGAGAGAGAGAGAGACACACCCACAAACACAAACACACACCCACACACACACAGACACACCCAGAGACGAAAACATACATTACACTGCATTGCATTGCATTGCATTGCATTACATTTAAATATGATAATGAGGCCCGCGAGCGGCATTGTCACCCTAATGTGCCGAATTATTTCCCCATCTGGCTGCGATCAGACACGTTCAACTGCTTCAGAATCTGAAACTCAAGCAAACATGTATAGATGTTGACATATCAGCCAAAAAGGTAGTGCCGCACTGCAGCCGCGGAAGGTTGCGGAAGGTTATTTTTGCGCGGAAGCTCGCGGAAGGGACGTTGTTGAAGGTTTCGCGGAAGGGTTTGATACGTCAATGCAAACTTGAAGGGAATAAAAACCACCACTCAGATGCCGCTAACAAAATTGGCTTTGCCTGCCGTGACCAAGTCCCTACAACAGCCCCATCATGGGTTAGATTGCTCTGGTGAATGGCATAAAACCAATCTAAGCCAGTGGAACCCATCTATTTCGAACTAAAGTAAGCAAAAAGGACACCTACAGTGCATGGACGAAATCCATTTCGCACCACCTAAGAAACCCAACGGAATGATTCGATGTCCCAACGTAAGAACCAACAAACCTTGTGGTTTCAACCATGGTTTCATTTCGCGGTGCGAAACTGGTTTCGCAACCATCCACACCTATGCGCCGCGTGTGGTCTGTCGGAACCCCCCAGCCAAACGCAAAAAAAAAAAAAAAAACGGCCGCTTGGCGTTGAAATCTCTCGCTTCGCATTTTTTTCTTGGGGATCCCGGCCCAGTCGCTGCCTTTCAGCGTGCACAGGCCTGGGTGTAGTGCAACTTAGGTACCCTCGGCTTCAGACCTTCCTCGGCCCAAAAACTTTCCTTTGGCCAGAAATAGTTGGTGCCCTCCCCCAGAAGAGCATGGAAGCTCCCGAACGGACCCCTTAAGACTTGGTTCCATTTACAGACGCCTTCTGGAACCTTCCGTGTTAGTCTGGGGGAGTGTCACCCCCTTTTGGGAACCCGATCGGTAAATGGAAGCATGGACCAACACCTGCTTTTGTCCGATTCCTGGTGGTTTCATTTTGACCCATACCCAGATCTTTAAAAAAACTCTGGAGAACATAGGGAACCAAAATGTTTGGAATGTGTCCAAAGGAAAACAAAAAGGCAACTACAAAGGCGGAGTGCATTGGAAACACGCAATTTGAGAGGTTGTGTGCTACTGGAAAACTCCAGCCCACTTGCAGCTTGCTTGAGAACTTTCAGGGCGCGTTTGGCAACCCTTCAAGGATTTTTCGTGTGAGAATCGACCTGCTTCTCATGGAGAGCACGTATCTGCGTGAGTCATGATATGTCACCAACCCAAATAGAGGGGAAAAGTGGACAACTCCCAGTTTCTTTATTCGTCCAGAATTGATCAACCTGCTTGTGTTGCCGTGTTGGATGCTTCGATCTTCTTCGTGCAGAAAAACCTCCGGAGAACTGTGAGCTTTCGTTGAAATCCCGGGGCCCCGGGCATGCGCCTGTCACGGTCTCCCAGATTTTGGCACTTCCGTCGGCACCTAAAGGCGCAACCAATGGGCTTGAGGCGTAGGGCCCAGGGCCCTGTGGCCTTATGGGTACTGGGCTGTCTGTTTTCACCTGCGAAAAGTACAACACTTGTGGCTTGAATGGAAACCCCTAAACCAACTAAGAAGCTAAGAACCTAAGGGGACGGCTGGGAACCGTCAAGGTTGGGGAGGGTCTTTGGGGCTTCCCTGGAAGGACGCCAAAGAAGAGAAATTGTCGGCAGGAAATACAAACTGAATCCACGATTCAGGGTGTTCCAAAAATAGGATTTGGACCGCTCTCGGGCGGGTTTCCCTTTCGTGTCCCATAAACTACTCACTTCAGCCGGGTTCTTTCACACTTCGTGCACACTCAAAATCTGTCCAAAGCCGAACTCCAGGTGCAACTTGACAGGTCCAGACAGTCAGCCACGCAGTGAGGCACCGCGCTCTCCGCGGGTGATGACTTTCAACCCAAGAGGGCGAACCACAAGTTCCATGGCTGGGGGGTGGTGATCCAACCTATTGGCGCTCAGCCTTCCAAGTATCTAGAAGCCAACTAACACGGGTCTTTGGGCTTTGTTTTTGTGCGGGTTACCCCCTGGTTGGCGGTCTTAAAAGAGGAAAACTCACGCTTCTCCCCTTTTTTTTTTTTGGGGGGGGGGGGGGGGTGGTCCAACCTTAGAGAAGACGAGCCACCCATATGCACCCCACCTCCATTGCCCCCTCCAACCTCCCAACCTCCCAACCTCCCAACCTCCCAACCTGCTTGGCGAAGAACCCTCCGTTCTTTCTTTTTGGGGTGGGGTCCCATTCCCCCCCCCCAAAAAAAAAAAAAGCACGAGCCACACATGGCCATGGGTCAAAATCCAAATCGTACCCCCAGTGAACATCAACCAATCCCCAGTAAAATAGGTCCTAAAATGGGTGGTGAATTCACCGCAAGCCCCCAAGATGGGATCTTTCTTGGTTTTGACCCGCCGCACCACCTGCCGCATCACCTCTCGCTCTCCCAACGACCGCTGGCTGAGAGTCCTGGCCGCTGGTGCCCATCAGCTTGCCGCTCACCGCGAAGGCGACGCAGAGCACCTTGTCGCCCTGGTGGCCCCTGCGGCGTCGCGTCGGCTTTTGCGTCGGCTTTTGCGTCGGCGTGCTTGCGCTTCGGCGCAGAAACACCTCCCTTCACCTCTGGCTTGCGTGTTCCCAGATCAGTGGATTTCCGTGGGAAAAAACAAAAAAAAGGAATCGGCATCCTTGGTTGGTTGCGTGACTTTAAAAGGGAATCCTTCCCAAGAAAAGGGGAAAACTCACTTTGCTTGCTGGTGTGGCAGGTGGGAATTGGTGGAATCAACCTAGGGAGTTCTTTAAAACCAGAGGGGATGGTGTACAGGGGTCGATTGCCGAAAAGGGGGATGTCGGATTTCTGAAACCTCGCGTTGTGTGCAAACGTTGGTTTCCCACAAAACCAACAAAATGGGCAGGTTTCAAAGCCCGAGCATTCCCTTCCAAGGGAAATGGACGATTTGTATCTTCGTCGACCAAACCATTTCTCAATCCAGTGTTGGTTTGAGGGAGTCTTCCAGGATTTGCCAAACAAAAACAAATGCAAAAAAAAAAAATGGATTCGAGGAACAATATGGATTCTGAAAAGAGGATCCAGAAGCAAGGCCTTTTGGGGCAAATCCTGCGGGTGTACATCCCTATCGATGATAACCATCCCCTCGAGGCGACGGCGCGCCTTAATGATTCCAGGCACTTGCCACTGATGGCATCCCACATCAGCACCTGAGTCTCATCAAAACCTGAAGGAGTCTATCCAAAACCATGCAAATAATTCACACTTGTGATATTATGGTTGGGCCTGCCCCTGCCAAGCTTCATCTACCTCAAGCGCCTTCGATGGTGGCTCACCTGGGGGCAAGTTGCAGCCGGTATAAATAGAGCCTCCTTGCGAGGAGGAAAAACCAAGCCTCCCGCAGGAGAATGGTGCTTAGAAGCTTCTTGGAAGGGGGGGAGCCCTGCTCTTGTCGCAAACCCAGATTCCCAGTGGCCATGGGAAAACAAGGGCATCCGATTTTTGGTTGGTTGACTTAAACTGGGAACCCTTCCCAAAAAAAGTCGGAAAAAAGGACGCCACCGGGCAACTGAGTAATCCATCGGGACCCTTCGGGAAGGAAACATAGTCTCCGGAGGCCACCTGAGGCGACGACTGTGCCATCAGAGGAGGCTGAAGCAAGCACCACCTGCGGCGCTTGCAGAGCTTGCGCTCTTCGTTGAGGAGTCGCGTGTTTCGCCAGGTCAGGTCGCCAACCATGAAATCGTATGGCTAAGACGGAGCACAAATCACTAGAAACTCCCTAAGTAAGGATCCTTGTCCTGGGGCATCAGCTTCATTTATCCCCAATTGGAAAATCTCAAAAATACTTCGTGCAAACTGATCAGACTAGCAAGAACTGACATACGTTCACGTTCAAACAACTTTCTAGGCCAATAGCCGGATCAGATCAAACCATGCAAGCAGGGCGCTGTTTTACATTCTGTATGATCAGTTTTTGAGCTGACTCATCGAACTCCCTTAAACGACCCTGCTTGCTTTCTCCGTCGGAGCAGAAGGTAAGAGTGCAGGTCAAAACGCGTACAAGCTATGCTTGCAAGCCAGGACCTCCGACAAGCAGGAAGCGCCAACTCACACCACACATACTGTCTGTGGGAAAAAAGGCAAACAACGCGGTCTTGTCCCGTTGCACCCCTTTGAACAACAACCCGAGGAAATGATCAAACTCGCTCGAAACGCGAAAAGATTGGCAAGGGGGGTTCAGGCTTCAGCAATCCCAGGATGCAATCCTTAAGCAGAACATCTAACACAACCAGTCTACACCGATTTCTGGACTGGTCTTTTGATCGCTCCAAAGCTTAACCTGTTGCTCGGGAACAATTATTTTCACAATTAGACCGAGTGCTTGGAAACCTCATTGCCCGCTTGCTCGTTTTGTGCATCCGTCTCGCTAAGCCGAAAGAAAGACAAGAAACCACCAGAGACCCGAGCATTTGCTCCCATCACCAACTATAACCAATATGAGAAATCACAATGACAAATAAGCACATTTAGCATTGGAAAGAACTCCGGACTGTGTTTCTCCAAAACATCTCGCCAGATCAACTTACTTGCTGGTTCTCAGCAGGGAATGAGGGAACACACTATCCTCTATGATTTCCTGTAAGGAAATCCTAGGTTCATTCCTGGGTCATTCCCAAATCCCAGCACCAGCTTAAGCTTAAGCCTCGCTGGAACGACCAGAAACCCCGGCCTCAGTCACAGGCGCTACCTGCACTTGGGAGTGGTTCTGCAAGCCCGCCGCCTGCCAGTAACTCGACTCCCGAAACGGAAAAGCTACCGTTTTCTCGGTCTGGTGTGTCACCACCATGTTTTGTTGCCCGCTATATGGGTGGCGCGTCGTTTTTTAGGTTGGACCAACTAAAATAGTGTCCCTTTTAAAATCCACAAAAAGGGTACTGAAGGATGGACATTCCCTTCAATTGGTGCTTTGCTTGGGTGGGAAATATGTCTTGTGTGGACCTGGCCGTTGCTTGACATTTCTCCCAGAGGTGCGCAGACCTGTCTCCCAGCCTTTGCATGGCGCATTCTGGATTTACGCCTAGGGGAGATGCAATAGAATTGTTAACCTTTGAAATGGCCATAAACTGCATTTGTGTGTCCTTCGCAAAAAACAAACTACAATCACTCTGCCAAATCCGGCAACGAAGTCTGATAATTCCACAGCTCAACTCTAGGTTGTCCGACATGCGACTCTCCCTGGTCTCATGTCTAAAAGAGACTTGCAATCTTGATTGATGTATTCTAATCTGTCAATGACTTCCATTTGCTTAAGATGGTTTTTTATTTCCCCCTCTGTTGGTTTTGAAGGGAACCTATCACTACTGGAAATAGTTATTATTCTTTTCCAGGGGGCTTAAGCAAATGGAAGATGACATGAACACGACGTAGCCCTCACTTCGAGATGGACTCCACCACGAGCTTGTACCTTATAATGCCCTGGTTAGCCCTCAGACATTCTGGAGGGGAATTCCTTTCGTTGTAACTCCTTCCCTCCAATCACGAAAGAACGAACTCTTTCAGCCGTTCCAAGATGGTCTCATGCAGGACATCCTGAGTCTCAACAGGGATCAAAAAGCATAGTTTTCCAGGAGTCTACAAAAAAACGCTTCAAAACACAAGCACCCTGGGGCAGCATCGTGCCCTTCTTGTGGCTGGGACACGCTGGGACTATCGGGTTCAAAACGGAAGTTTAGGTCAGCTAGTATGTCACACCCAAACATTTGCTCTACTAGGGAAACATCCTACACCCCTACACCCCCCCCTTGAAAACACCAAAACACACACACACACAAAAAAAAAAAAAAAAACATATGGTATCCTTTGCAAAGAACACCAAAAAAGGGGGCGCCCAAAGAAGACACGAGGCATCCATATGAGTCACAGGACACTCTGTGGCCTCAAGCGTGAGGTGCATTGCGGTGTTGGCGCCGTCGAACCTTCCCGAAATGCGGGGAAAAAGTGCCGCCCCTTAATGTTGACCCAGGATTAATAAACCCGTCCCATTATTAGGGGGATGTTCCCTCCAAAAGTGATGAATCCCCACTAAAAGGGGACACCCCCCTATTAATCAACCAGGGGTTTACTAATCCGGGGTTAACGTTATGCTCCTGAAAGCCAATCACCTAGGCGCATTGTTCGCCAGCCGAACAACGGGTTCCCTCCGACAGATTGGGTGAGGTCACCTTCCCCCCGTTGCGAGTTAGATCACCTTCCCAGGGTTGGCGACAGTGACCGGTTCCATGAACTTCGCTTTTGGTGACCATCAAGGGGCACCAGGCACGGCTTGCCACGCTTTTTGCAGACATGTGGACCCTGACTCCTCGAAATGTCCATGAAGCACCTATGGGAATGCGGGCGAATTGTTAGTGAGTTTGTCGAAGGGCCCGCTGCAGGAAGGAGAAGGGCACATGGATTGATGCCCTCGGGGAACAAGTCCTGGATTTACCGTATCTCCATGGCGTCTTTTCAGCTTTTTAAAGTTTTGATGGTACTACAAGATAGACTTTTAGCAGGGGATCTGAGGACAGCCCAGGTATGGAGAGCTTTGCAGTCAATGTGGGGGGCCAGCCACAATATGTCTTGGATTTTGCGGAGGCTTCTCCACCTTTCCGAGGCAAGCCATCTTGGGTGAGATTTCACCACCCTCAAATGGGTTGTCCCAATCAGGGGACCCTGTACTGTTTGAACCCTGCAAGAGGCATGCCCAAGATGGAAAAGAAAGAACATTATGAGTGTCTTGTTGCCTGTCCATCTCCTATCTGCTGACTGGGATTTTCTTCGCCGGGTAGATTGTTTCACCCTGGAACCTCCGGGTCTACCACGGCTCACGCCTTTAAACGAGGGCCTGGAGGATGTCATGTCTCTGGTTGGCGGCCTTTCAGGGGGCAAAGACCTCTCCAGCACCCGCGGAAGGAAAAGGATATCTAAGGGAAATCTCAAGGCAAATCCCCAAACCGACCCCAAACCGAACCCAAACCAGCCCCAACCCCAAGCCCTCTCCACCCCCCCCCCCAACCCTGGGCCATCCCCGCTTGAGACTCAGCTGCGGCAGCTTCATGGCTGTGCTCAGCGCACCTCGGCTTCTTCCCGTCCCGCCTTTTGGGCCCGTAGGTTTTTCGGCCCAGGGACCAAGACGTCAAATGGACAGCCAACAAAGCAGACTTGGACGGGGAAACGAGGTCGTATGATCTAAATCGACCAAAAGTTTGGTGCTGACACCGGATTCCACCTGGCAAATTGGGAATGCTTCCCCCAAAAACTGAAGGATGGCATCCTCCAAAAAGGGGCACAGGTCCCTTAAGAAAATCAACCCAAGGGGTTCTCCCAGACGGAGCCTGCCATTCAGAAGGTTCGCTTCAATGGGCTTTTTGGCGGGAGTCTGCAGCCCATTTGTGGGAAGGAGCGCCTTGCTCAATGGAGATGTTGCCCGGTGTTTTTTTCGGGGCACCGCTCTCCCCAAGCGAGGCAAAGCTGCGTTTGGACAGGCAGACCATGATCTCCTGGAAAGGGAGACCGCAACCATGTTGTTTAGACACGTGCTTTGGAGGGGGAGTCTATGGGGGTTCTGATTCCAAGGCATGCGCGCCGCAGAGACAGCATGGTGTCGTAGGAGTATACGAACACCTGTGCCGGACAGGGTGTGCCTAGGTTCTTGGCACGAGTTTGGCTAGGTCCTCCAGTAGAGAGGTTAGAATAAGGGTACCAACGTTTTTCTGTAGTCTGTTCTAGTAGGGGACCCCTCCCCAAAAAGAGTTGATAGAGAAGGGCACTACTGGGGAGCCCACTTGGTCTGCCAGGAGAAAACCAGCAGCCTACAAGGACAACCCTCGCGCAGAGAGTCAAAAGACACCTGGCAAGGAAAGCTGCAAGTCCACGGCGGTCTCCAAAGACACCAGTGGAAGTGGGAACTGTTTGGCGAAGCGGTGAGGAATCATGCTTTCTTTCTTTTTATCCGTAGGCTGGCAGGCCAAGCCCAAAAACAAGGCCTCTATCAAACTTGTGGGAAAGGTGAACCCTTCATCCCAGCCAAGCTCTAACAAATCCCATGCCACAAGACCCATGAGGTTGGTTCGAACTCACAGGAAGCTGCTCTCTCTCTCTCTGTCTAGATGGCACCCTATGAGTCCGTATGAGCCCTAAAAGGCTCAAAAGGAATACCAAGATCGCAGGCTTTGGTGGTCGCATCGTATTCAATCTGAGCACCCGCGTTTCAATGCTCATCCAAGGCCATGGACGCACAAAAACTCGCGGATCCCGGTGCGGGGGAACAAAAACCACTCACCCAGCTGGCCCTCGTCCAAGCTCGCTGCCACTTTTCTCTAACACGGCATAAACTCGTCCCCTGTTTTGTGATAGGGAACCTCCACCCCCTGCAAAATAAAACGACTTCTTTAGAAGGGGTCCCTATCACAACCCCCATAAAACTCCTTCGGCAAGGCAAAAAACGACCTACGAGCCCTGCGAGGGTCAAACCAATTCGGCACCTCTTTGGAGCCCGAGCCTCCAGAAGCCCACAGAATGCCTTGAAATGGGGGGATGTTGTTTTGAGGCGACCCCCCAAAAAAAGCACGCAACAAAAATAATGAATAAATAAAATCAACATAAACCATGACACAGAATAAAACAAATAATAATAATGATACTAATAACAAAAATAGTAATAATAATAAATATTAACAATAATATGAATAATAATATTGATAATGATAATAATAACAACAATCATAATGATAATGACAATGATAATAGTAATGATGATAATGATAATACTAATAATACTACTACTAATAAGAATAATAATAATAGTAATAATCATAATAATGATAATAGTAATAATAATAATAATAATAATAATAATAATAATAATAATAATAATAATAATAATAATAATATGAATAAGAACCATAGTAATAATATTAATAATAAGAATAATAATAACAATACTAATAATATCAATAATAGGAATAATAATAATGTTAAGAATAATAATAACAATAATAATAACACTAATATTAATAATAATAACAATAATAATATTTTAATAATAATAAAAATAAGAAGAAGAAGAAGAAGAAGAAGAGTAATAATAAGAATAATAATAATAATAGTAACAATAATAATAATAACAACAATGATGTTTAAAACATGAAAATAATCATAAGAATACTATTAGGGTGTCCCTGTGGCTTCTTTATAAAACTGACCAAAAAGATGGCTCCCAATAAAAAGACAACCCCATATCTAATGGTCCCTGGGTGTGTAGGTCAGACCCTTGACGCAGATCCCAGCGATTTTGGAGTCGAGATCCACACTTGGGCTATACATTTTTTTGCCACCATCGCACCCCCACCACCCCTGCCACCCCCACACCACCACCCTTGTCGCCCCTACCACCCCCACCAAACCAGACTTTTGGCCTTCGCCCGAAAAAAATCCACCCCCGCCACCCACGCCGTTTTCGCCCTCGGGGCCGAGGCCTCCGCAGTGGCGCCGCTGCTTTGGTCTGTGGCCACCACGTGCAGCAGCTCCTCGAAGACTCGGAGGAGTCGTGGGAGACATCGGGGGGGTGGGGGTCCTGGGGGTCACGGGATTTCCCAAAGCACACGTTGCGGCTTGCTGGGTTTACCGGTTCTGGAGGTCCGAAAAAGGAAATGGTTTTGGGAGTTCTTGTCTCTATGGATTTGGATCCGGAAAATTGGATCCCAAGACCTGTGTTGAAGCCAAAAACGGCCATCCAACAAGAGGACCGGGTGGCACCTTACCGCCCCTCGCCCGCTACGGCATAGGTGATCCATCCTGTCCAACATGTAACCCACCGGGGTCCATGTCCGGAGGCAGAGACTCCATAGATCCCCTTGTCCGCCTTAGCCTCTGCCCAAAAGTCGACAATTTGAAGACGGCCGTGCCAAATTGAGGGCAGTCTCCTCCATGGCAGCGAGAAGGTACCATCCAAGAGGCCGGGATTGGATTGGCTCAATCCCTGATATGTTAGCCAAAACTGACTGCTGTTTGCAGGCCCCCGTTTCAAATGCAAACCACAGAGTGAAGATTAGGCTGGCACAGGCTGACAGCAATCTTTACCTTGTTCAGCCATCCGCCTTGGGCTTTGAGCGTTCTTTGCCTCCTGTAAAACAGGGGTCACGTCAAATGGAGCTGGGTCATTCCCTTGGTGTTCTTGTTTTACTCCCCTGCAGGTTCAAGTGGAACCCAACAAGGGAGTCATTGAACCCAAGAAGGCGATGCCGCTTTCAGAACATGAGCAACTGCGGTTTTCCGTTCCTGCGGTTCTGCTCCTGAGAGGCAACTGGCAACTGGCCACCATCTAGGTTGATGTAGGGCCCAACGGCCGGCCACTTTGTGGCCCGCCCAAACTGAGCCGAGACCAAACTGAGCCGAAATGCGGAAAGAGCCGACGAGCCGTCGAAACGAAGACGAGAACCCTCCGAAACAAGAACCCAACGGACCTTGAAAGGAACCAGCGTGACTTACCAACTAATTGCGCGTCTCAAAACAGGGCTTGGCCCTTTGGATGGCGTGAGAGGAAACCAAAAAGGAGTCCCCGATTCTAGAGTACCCGTTTGGAGGGGTAACTTGACTCGACACCTACTAGACCTGCAAACCGAGTGCAAAGCCCTCTTGAAGGCAGCGCTGTAACAGGAGTGCCTTTCGTCAGACGCTGCCAGTCAGGAAAATCCGGACACCTGCACAAAATAACCGCTACTCGAAACATGAGGGTACTGACCAAAGGATGTATCATGCATCTGCCTTGGAAAGCTAGGTTTTCCAAAGCCTATGCCCAGCGAGCCGGGTACTTGGAGGAGATTTGCTTTTGGCCCACTTCAATTTCCGACCTTGTCCATTGGCTACGGGGAAACAGGACCTTGGCCTTATACAACTCACTCGTGAGCAAGGGACCCATCTGCAAAGAGTCGAATCGGTGGGTCAAATCAGTTCACCTCTCCCTGTGTTCCTTGGTTTTCGACCCGATTTCCAGGTTATGTGAACAATCCAAGTGCTTGATGCCTTGATGCATCCGACCCCTTGACTTTTCTGAGGGAATCAACCAGCGGGTGCCATGGGTCATGACTGTAAACACACACACATCCCTGAACCGACTCCCGTGGGTGGAAAAAGCTTCATTAGGGACCCAAAGTGGTGGACACCATTTAGGTGGTTGGCTTCAGGTTCAACCCACTTTGCAAGGGGGTTCCAAGCATTAAAAGTCCATTGCCACCATGATGTTTTTTGTCATCCCCTCAGTGTCTACTTTTCACGCCTCCACCCCGAACCGCCCGGAAAACGCCCGTCCCACGCGGGGCGCCCCCAGCAGGCCACCAACTCCTCCAAGCGCCCACCTTGTCCAGCACCCGCTGCTGATCCAACGCCGCCCGGCGCTGAGCCATCTCCACCTTCGCCAGCCAGCTCCGCACGAACCTGGCGCAAGCGACTCCAGTCTCAAGCCCCCCGAGTGGATGGATTGGCCGAAAGGAAAGGGATGGGCAAACTTTTCTCACTTCCCCAGTGGATTGGCCGAAAGAAGATGTAAGTAAAAACGTTTCATGGTCCAAAGCCGCAAAGTGACTCGAGCCCGAAACCGGGAGGACGACGTTGCCGCGCAGACGACGACGACCGTGGAGCCAGGAGCCCATGTCTCCAGATGGGATTGGGGGGGAGCAAGTCCAAGTGCTTGGTCTACTTTTGGTTTCCCTTCCAAACCAGGAACCATGCAAACCTTTTGGTGTTTTGGGGGCATCAAAAAGCATAATCCTTTTAAACCAAAGGTTTCGTTTTGTGAATTCATCTAGACAACCCACCCCGTTTAAAAGGGGGCATCTCCAATAAACACGTTGCGGTAGGTCACGATTGCGGGAAATAACAATCCCCTTCTGGTGGGATTCGAATCCCATCCAACTTGATCACTTTGCAGGGGTACCCCGGCCGGGTACGGTGGCACAGAGAAGTTCGCAAACACACATACGTCCCACAACGCAAATTGGCTTGGCCTAGCTGACAACTGGCAAGTCATGAGCTGAGAAACAGCAGCGCTACTTGTGGGACAATGTGCAGTGTTTTAGGTCAGGAGCAACCAAGAACAAAAGCAAGTTGGTGGTTGAAATTCGCCGACTTCGTGATACCATTAGGCCTTCCCAAATGCCGAGTTCCCATTGAAGGGTGCCCAGATCAACCCTTTGGCTCGATGTCGATGTGTCTTCTTTTTTGGGAACCCCCCCCCCTCAAAAAACCTGTTGGTGTCTCTTAAAACCAACAAAAAGGTACCCTCAAACAAAGAATCCCCCCACTTACCTTTGGTCCAATTCCGATTCAAGAGGGCCCAGCCTCTCGATGGTGATAATCCTGCTCACTTTCCAGGTGTAGTAGGCCTTGTAGCGCCTGGCCGCTACGGCTTGGGATGCTGCGGGAAACTCCATTTCCCGGCGGTTGGGGGATTTTCTTGCCTGAGGGTGTGTGCCGTCCCGGGACAAAAGACGCGTGACAAGGAAGCCAGAAGCTCTTTTTGCCCAGATACGAACCACCTATGGGTCACTCAAACAGTTGACAGGGGCGTCTTAAGAAACATTGGTGACCCCAAGATGCACAGCCCCTTCTCCCTAGGTGCAAATCCCGGAGGCGCAGTTGCGAACCATGCGACTGGCGGATGCAACCACATGCGGTTTGTGACAAGCGTGCTGTTTGTTTTTGCCTAAGCTCACGTAGTTGTTTGGGTGTGTGTCTCTCTGGCTTGTGGGGACCCCTTTTTGGCTGGTTTTAAAAGGAACGCCAAAAGGGGAATCACCATTTTGGCTGGGCTGTTCTCAGATCCACTGCTAAATGAGTTAAATGGAAACCCCCACTAAACCAACTAAAGACCTAAAAATCTACGGAACCACCTAGTTCGGGGACGGTCCAACCTAACAAAAACAAAACGAGCCACCCGTTGGACGGCGGTTGGAACCGAAACTGGACCTCAGACTCCCCAAACGCCTCCGCGACAGAAAGCCACGGATGAGGCGCTGGCAGTTGGTGGCGGCCTGCAAAGGAGACGAAGACCGCGACCGGCGCCACTTGGGAGCGATGAAACCCGACAATTCTTGCTGGTGCCATAGGCAGGGAATGAGAAATGGAATGACCCCGAGATACACCATCCAGCTTTCCCTTAAGGGGACCCCCAGGTTCATTCCCAAATTCCCTACTGAGCACCAGCAAGAATAGTGGGACACTGCACAACCCAAACATTCTGGAATAGCAACAAACTGTGGCTTTTGTTGCAGCCCCCACTAAGAATGAACAGAACCGGGGGAAAAACAAAAACTACACACGGTGCCAACAACACTAACAACAACAACAGTGAAGGACAAACCACCCAACTGGTGCAGCGTTTGTCCACTGGCCCGGTGACCCTAGGAAAAGAGACGGCCTTGTTGGGCTGATTCCATTTTGGGGGAAGCCAACCCAAACCAAGGTCCCTATAGCAATCATGCTGCAATCCATGACTCTGGGCACCTTACCACTTCTTCCCATGTGCATCCAACCACAAAACCCGGGCAAATCACGGAACAGAACAGGGTGCTCCTTGTTCCCACCTATCCATCTGAGCTACTACCCCGAACCAAAGAAGCAACAATTTCAGATTAAGGTCCATGTTTGGTGAAACTTGGAATGCAAAATGAGGTCAAAAGAGATTACGAAAATAATCGCTTTAACTTTCACTTCATGTACGTTGGACTGTGCCCTCCCGCCACAAAACGGAAGGAAAACCCAAACAAAAACCATCCAAAAAATAGCCATGCCCCAAAGGAGGGGCTCATGTTAGGTGAGTTCTCTCTAAGGACTTGCCCGTTCGAGTTTTAAGAGACCCCGTGCCCGGCTGGTGCCCCTTCACGCATTTTCCAGCGCCGGCTGCAGAATCTCTTCGTGTGGCCTGTGCTCGGAAACTGGAAGCCTTGAACAGGAATTGGGGGACACCCTAAAAGTTGGTGGGGCACTTTCCAAACCGAACACCCGAGATGAAACTTCCCATCTCTGCAACCATAGCCACACACACCCTCTGGGTCCGCTCGCGTGGAGGAAAGGCTCCAAGCCGTTCCCAACGTTCGACGTCTGTTCCAAGGCTGGGGGCCTGGAGACAGCCGCTGGTCACTCCCCCAAGCGGTGGAGGCAAAGTCAAGGGCCGAGTAAACCCTTACAAAATGGAGGGGGTGTCGACTTGGAGGGGGTGAGAAAAGCACATCTTGGAGGGGGTGACTAAACCCTTACAATTAAGATTGCCGCTGAGAGGTAGAGATTGGAAACATCAAAATAATTATTTAGTGAATATTAGCAAGTGAAATAGTGAATGGGAATAGTGAATTAAAACAATTGCGAATGGAAATAGTGAATGGGAATAGTGAATGGACATACGCGGACATGGCGAGGTGACTAGGTCCAGGGGAGTTGTGCTAAAGCTTAGGCCCTTAGGCTTAGCAAAGCAAAGCGAAACAATGTTTATATGCTAAAGGGAAGCCCTCGACTCGATTGGCCCCAAGTTTGCCCAACGCAGCGCCCGCAATTTCCATAAGTGCCAATTCACTAATTTTCGCTAACTCCATTCACTATTTTGTTCACTAATTGTTTGCTCAAGATTGCAGTCTTTTCAAATGGAAAGAACAAAAATCACTAACCTGCATTAAATTTCACTAAATTTCACTAAATTTCATTAAATTTCGCAAGCCCAAATGAGTGAAATTAAGCGAAATTTAGCACTAATTCTCACTAAATTGCGAAATTTAGCGAAATTGTATGAATCTCGTTCTATAAATTTCGCTAAATTTCACTAAAATTCACTAAATTTCACTAAATTTCACCAAGTTTCATTCATTTGATTTAGCGAAAATTAGTGAAATTTAGTGAATTGAAATGGTGAAAACTAATGAATTTTAGAGGTTCAATTTCCACAAATCGGCAAACTGTTGCTATTCAAATTAGTGAAATACATTCCCGCCTGTTGGGGAAGCCGCTGGCAGGCCCTCTTATCACAAATTTGGCTCCTTTGCTCAATTCACAAACCTGGAAACCCGAATTCTCAATTCACTAATTGAAGTCACAAACTGCAAATCCATGTCTCCCAATTCACAATTTTGATTCACTAAATATTTCACTCACTATTTTGATTCACAAACTATTTCACTATGTTTCACTAATTTAATTCAAAACATGTGTTTCAGTGTCTGCCTAGTCCGGCAATCTTAACCTTACAACATGTGGGGTCTCGACTGCCGGTGGATAGACACGGAAAAGGCTCGCGATGGCCCGTGCTGTGGAACCCAAATTGAGCACAGACTGCAGGAACGGCCCGTGGTTGTGGCAAGTCAGCTGAAAATTAATTCAGATTCCCAGTGGCCATGGGAAAAAAGCGGCATCCTTTTTTGGTTGGTTGACTTGATCCCCAAAAAGAGGAAAAAAGGGCGCCACTGGGCAACTGGGCTCGGCACAGCTTTAAACGCCGATTGATTGGGCACACCATCCCACTGCCTGAAATGGACGCCAAAGGCCAGGATGTGGGCAACTAGAACACATGGATCGCCATATCAGCGGATCGTAGCATATCTATGTATATATATATATATATGGATTTGAGTAAATACCCTCTTTGCTACCCATGAAAAACATGTCCACGTCAAAGCGCTATGGGAAATTCATCGCTCCGTCTTCAGGCCCAGCCAAAGCTGGCCCGGGGAAAACCCCGGAGTTTCCGGCGAACCCTTCGGGCTGATGCTGGAAAGCCATAGGGATGGCCACGGGGGCAGCCTGCACAAGAACCTCGCCCTTAACAAACAGTTCATGAAGCAGAAGAGACATCTGCCAAAACCCACGATGAAGAATCAGATGGGCGCCAAGCTTTCTGAGGCTATTTGCGAGGGCAGGTGTCGTCGAACTAGGTGGCGGCTCCCTCCGGCGAGCTTTCCATGTCTCTGTCAGAGCTCTTGTGCCCTCCGTTGCACTTAGGGCATGCCGGAAACTCCGGCCGAGAAACCTGGCTCTGAACCAAACGTGAAACTCGGTGAGTGGCTGCAGCTTTCAAGGATGCGGTCACAAACCGACCAACAAAACATGGGAACCTGGTGTGAAAGCACCCTTACCATGATCGCGAGCCTTGGCAAAATTCCGGCTCTCACTTGGCATCAGACGCCTGAGCGCACCATGACGGGTTTGGTGGAGAGCTCCTTCTCAACCCCTGGTGGAAAAATAGCATATTTCTTTGAGGTCGCCCACCCCGCCTGAGTGCAAATGCACTGAGCCCAAACAGCCGACATCTAAAACACCTGCCACGAAAAGCAAAGGATTGCCGCCTTTTTCCCCCGCCAACGGGGTGGTCATTTTAGGCAAATGGAGTTGGATGTTGATCACCGGGGTCCTAGATGCTGTCAAGTGCTATTCGAGTCACCAAAGTCCGACCCAAGGACCAACGGG